AACTATTCAGCAATGCCTCATAAAAGCCGCACACTTAAGTAGAACCCTTGACTAACTGAAACCAGTTTGGAGAATATATTCCAAATAAAGATGCAATGGTAAAAAAACAAACAAATAAACGAAACAAAACAAAACAAAACAAAAACCTATTTGTAGAAAGATATTTTGAGCTGACTGTATGTCATCAAGAAGAGTGAAAAGAATTGCATGGTTTACTTAGTGAGTTAGTAAGCGCTAAGCTATGACATACTGGCGCACACGGTGACCGTTCAGCACGGCCCAGCCCAGCTGCAAACTTGAACCGAGTACAGAGCACATGTCAGCTCCTGGACTCCACCCTGGGAACCCAGACAGGTCTCTGTGGGTAGAGAGGCAGCGAGATAATCACAGTGTAACTTGAGCAGGGTGAGGTGAGCATGAGGCAAAGTGCGTGTGGAGGGGTTAACTCCACGGGGAGGTTCAAGAAGAGCCTCTTGCAGGAGCTCAGATACCTGACTGGACTTTAGGCAGACAGTGATGGGAAAAAGGAATGGTGTAGATGAAGATGGAAAGCATTTGGGAGAAGGCAAATTGTAGGTGTGGCTGGGAGGGGGTGGGATCTATGAAGGATCGATAAGACTGGAGGCCTTGAATGCCAATTCGCACTTTGCAGAGAGAAGTGGGGAAACAAATGGAGATCCTTAAAGAGGTGAGGAAGAGGACTAGCTTTGTGCTTTAGGAAGATCATGGTGTCCCAGTTTGGAGGATGGACTGAGAGGCTAGAAGGCAGGGAGACCTAGTGGGAGCCTGTTTCAGGGTCCAGGTAAGATATGGGGACAAGGCCTTGGGATGGACTTAAGAAGGCAGGTCACGAGGTATTGATCAGGCCAGAAGGCACAAATAGCTCTTGATAATGGACAGGCTGTTGGGGAGAGGCAGAGGCAAGGTTGGGGGCTGGTGGTACCAGCAGTTGAGTAAGGAAATGAGGAGGAGAAAAATTTGGGGGGAATAGGTGAATCCAATTTTAAATCCCCATGGGACAGGCAGATAGCTAGTGCAGGCAGCTGATCGTGGAAGTCTGGAGCTCAGGAGAAAGACTGGGTAGGTTAGGTTCGGAAGCTTTGGACTGGAGATCTGAATTGGAGCTAGGACTGTTGGAGCCCACTCCGGGGAGAGAGGGTAGTACAAGAGAAGTACCTGGATTGGACCCATTGTGAAAGGTTGGAGGAGAAACAAGTACACTAGAAAGGGGCTTGAGAAAGAGCCAAGAGGTGGAAAACAAGGAAAGAGCCATCTCACAGAAACTCAGGAAGAGTGGAAAAGGGGAGCAAGAGCCGCAGAATCCAACAGGGACCAATTTGGATGGCGACTCAATGATTGTTGCTTCTTGCTATCAGACAGAACTCCCCGGACCACCATGGGCTCCCTGCCTCCTCAGAGCTGGGGGTTCTGAGAAACACTCCAACTGCCCTTGTGTCCTTCAGTAACCCCAGGGCCTGTCTGGGTCTGGGCTTCTTCCTCCATCTAAGAGGAAGAACCATTCTGCCTGCCTTCCAGCAGAATCCAGTGCTACAGGTGAAAACTGATGAAAGTGCTTCAGAAGCTGCCCAAGGGATGGTTTCTGACTCAAATCCTTTTAAGTCTCAGATGCGTCATCTGGGAGACTTGAAACATGCTAGTTATGTTTTCTCTTGTCTTTGGTGGCTCCTTCTCTCCTCTAGCCATCTCTCTGCTCCGACTTGTTTGGTGGTTGGTTGTCGATCTGTGGCTGGCCCAGCCTAGGGTGTGCTGAGTCACCCATTCGACCCTGATTTATTGATGGCGGCTGTGCTCTGGAACCGCTGCTCACCCCATTATTCCTCTTCTCATTCCTATCTTTTTTTTTTTTTAGTTTATTTCTCTCATGAGAGAGAGACAGAGAGACAGAGACAGAGAGTCACCCTCGACACCAGGATCCACCCAGTCTCAGTCAGCCTAGATCGCAAGCATGTCTGTGCACCTTGTGTGCTCAGGGAGGTCCCAGGACATGACCACTG